AGAAGAGCGGGAAAAAAAGAGTAGATGAAAGAGAGGAGGGTAAAGTAAGGAGTGATGAAGACAGAGTGGGTAAAACAAAGGGAGAAAAGGGGCAGATAAAATATGCCGAAGAGACGTAGAAAACAAAGAGGACAAGAAGCACGACTCAGAGTTCACGAAAAGTCTCACCGGCGCCGCCCTCTCGCGGCTCGTGGCCCACCGGCCGCGGCTGGAGGCGCTGCTGCTGATGCAGTGCGCGCGGCTGACGGACGACGGGCTGGCGGCGCTGCACGGCTGCGCGTGCCTGCGGAGGCTGAACCTCGCAATGTGCACGGGTGTCACCGAGCGAGGCGTGGCGGCGCTGATCGACGCGCTGCCTGCGCTGGACGACCTCGAACTAGCTGGATGCTCTCGCGTGCGCCTTGACGTGCCCGCGCTCAGCGCAAAGTTTGAGCGGTTCGTCGAGCTGTCCGAGGACGCGGACGGCTTGGATGCCGTGCAGGGGTAGTCGCGTGCAGGTAGAGCGCGCGCTGCAGTCCACATAGACTTTTCTCCGCAGCGACGTCTCGTCTCACTTGGAGTGAGAGACTTGCCGCTCTCGGTCCGCCCGGTGCGGCGCGCGACGCGGTGTGGCACATTACCTGTGATTTAAACTGTGGCCAGATAAATCCAAAAAATAAATACAACGGTCAAACTCTGAGACGAGATGGGATTCAGGGACATGCAGACAGGCCAGCAGCCAGTGGGACGAACGAGGGCCGCGACACGGTGCGGAAACGAGAGGGCCAAAATACCACGGCTAGGATGGCAGCGTGTTTGACAGTCGTCCCGGCTCCGGCCAAGCCCCAATCGGGTCCTTTCATACCAGATCTGGGCCGAGTGAAGCCTGAGTGAGTAGGCACACGCCACGGGTGAGCACCGGACTCTCTCGGCCACTCATTTCCGCAGGTCGCTGCCTGCTGGCGCAGCGCCCGGATGGGCCATCAAGCGGCGGAGCAGTTCTACGCGGCACTGTGTATTGGGAGCGGGTTGTTTCGCCCCAAGTGCGAGCATATATGATGTGCGCGGCCGGCAAGGCGCTCTGCGACGCCAGCCAACTCGCGCTGCCGACCTCAGACAGCTTGGCTCGGCAGGGCGGTGACAGCGACCCGCACGCGAGCTGCACCCCACCGCCCGCCTCTAGCCGTAACATGCCGTCGAACGCGCTGTGCGGAACAGCAGCCGTGGGCGCTCCGCGTTTTGGGTGCTCCAGCGCGTTTTCGCGAGCATCTTCGCACGATACGCTCGGCTTGTCTGGTGAACTCGAGCGAGAACACACACAACACAGCTCCGAGCAGCTGCTCACGCGCGCGCCTATCGCCGGCTCCTGTGCAGTCCCAGGGACGGTTTGTGTGTAGTATTACCTTTAATAAACCAACCATAAGCGTGGCACGACATCAGCTGGACGCCCGGGACAGTGTGCACTCACGCCAGGAGCTCCGCATGAAGTGCCGCGCGGGAACCAGCGCGGGGCCACGCGCGTGTGTGGGTGGGGGCACACACGCGTGCTAGACTGTGCCGGTATGTACGGATTCTACTGAAACGCCACCGGCTGGTCGCACCAGCCGCTAGCGCGCAGCCTGTGCCGGACAGGCTCCGCCGCCCACGGCTGCTTGAGCGTCTTCTTCGCGTACGCAACCAGCGCGTGCGCCTCTGCCATCTCGAGGCGCAGCTCGTCCGTCGGCGCGGTGTACGGCATGATGTCGCCCGTCGCCGAGTTGATGCCCACGGTGGTGAACTCGACCGTGAACTTGTAGGAGCCGGGGGCAGGCGCGTCGGAGCCGCCTGCGCGCGGCTCCACAAAGGAGAGGCGCATCGGCGTGCGAGCATTGCACGCGACGAGCAGCATGTTGGACATGCGTCGCGCGCCCCTGATGCGGAGCGCGCCGACGCCGTGGGTAGGCCGCGACTCGTGCAGCGACACGATCCACGCGGCGTGCTCCTGCGAGAAGATGGTGAGTGTGTGCGCCCGCTGCCAGTGGTCCTCCTTGACCGCGATCTTGGCCTTTGTGCCGCTCGGAGGAGTAGAGAAGTACTGCAGCAGCGCGAGCGCATACTCGCGCAGGGAGGCCTCCTCGACCAGGACAGCAAGCCCAAACATCGGGCCGGTCCTCTCGATCACCTTGAAGGCGATCCGGTCGCGCATCCTGGTCACGACGTAGAAAAAGGATGTCGGGAGACGTTCGCGCTGCGCATGAAAGGCCCGAACAAACCGCTGGGGGATGTTGTCGAGGGGCTCCCACGTCCAACCATCGACATCGTAGTCTTCCCAAGCGGTCAGAAGCTCGATCCCCCCAGCTCTCTGCCGCCACGCGATGACCTTCTGGACGTTGTAGCTGTCTGGCAGCAAAAGCCGTTTTCGGCCCCGCCCGGACCTGCGGCGGTTTTGGTTGGATTCCGTGAGATACCGATTTTTCTGTCACTAAATAATTGGCGTAGTGCTTGCCATGAGGGTGCTGAGGGTTGGGGGGGGGGCGGTATGCGCCACATAAATCGGGAAGTACCATCCTGTGCGCCGCAAAGGCCGATCGCGCCCGACGGTGGGGCGGCTCACCGCACACGCATAGTTGCGAGGCCGAGCCCGCCGGGCGCGTAGAGCCGAGTGGCCGGGGGGGAGGCGGACCAGGGAAACCGCGCGCGGCAGTGCGAGGTGACATGTGGCGCGGTCACGGCGGGGGAGACGGCGCGGTGCTAGGGGCGCGGAGCGCACATTGTAGCGCAGAAAAGGGCCTTATGAGTGGGGTAAACGGACCAAGGCCCAGCCGCACCGTGACAGAGCACCTCCAGCAGAACCACTCC